CGGCGGCGGGAGGAGGGAGTCAGCTTTGCGCAGTGGCAGTATCGTAGCCAATGAGGTTAATCCGAGGCGCGATTATTGCTAATTGAAAACTTTTCCCAATACCCCGCCATGACGACTTGAAATATAGTCGGCATTGGCAATTTTTGACAGTCTCTACGGAGACTGAGTTTTGGTGTGGAAAGACAGAGGAAAGGAATGCACGACACGGGATGTCCTCGTGTCGTGGCCTGGGGGGGAAGCGCTCCTCCCTGCGACCTCATCAGCGCCACAAAGGTTTACTGTGTGTGCGATGACACAAGGGCTTTTGTTCCCTCTCGCCGCAGCCGGGGTCTGCCCCAGCCAAAAACATGTTTTAATGATAAATCGAGGGCGCGTTTGCATAAAAAGCCCAGTTCTTGCCTTCCCTTTCAAAGGTGCTGAAAGAGGAATTGATCCGTGAAAACGGGAGCGGAGGGAGCGGGGTGCCGGCGGGTGCCTCTGCCCTGGCTCCTGCTGAGCGGGCTCCTTGAGCAGAGCGCTCTCGGGGGGAGCTGCCGGTCCAAATCGTGCTTGACTGGCTCCCGAAACGCTCCGGCACGCATTGGGGAACCGCGTTCAGTGCGCAGCATCGTTTTGTGCAACGGCTCATTACTGTATAGATCCATCGGCATCACATGCTTTTTTTTATTTTTTATTATTTTTTTTAAAAGAAGACTCCTCACTGTCAAAGAAATCTTAAACCTTTACTCTGGAAAAAAGCAGCTGCTGAGTTTAGTGTAAAATCCTCTTTTTGAAATTAAGTAAACCCCATCTATTTCTAAGCTGCAGCTGTTGTCTTATTTAATACCTCAGTAGCCGCTGTGGAGGGGGACCAATGACCATTGTCCACCAGCTCCCCAGGCCGAACCCCGGCGCTGAGGCTGAAAGCAGCTGCTCTCTGTCACTTCGTGTGAATTAGACGCAGCTTTTATGCTGCTGACAAGTTACCTCCGAAGGTCTCCGGTTGTACGTGCCACCAGGATGCTCATACCCTGCCCGTATGACCCTGAGCTAGGCAGCTGTTTTAAACTACCACTATTGATAACTGAATAAATTATCGGTATTTGAAAGCGGAAAATTTAGTAGCAAATATTAATATTCCCCCTTTATCAGATGTATTTGTAATATTCACCTATGCTGGGGCATTATACTCGAGAGTGGCCACAGGATGACTAATGAAACCTCCTAGACTGCATTTGTCCCCATATCTGCACTTAATTGCTATAGCAATGT